AGGCACTGTTCCCTTGGGTTCAAGAACCAGCAGAACAAAATCTCTCCTTTGCCAGCAGAGCCCCAGTCTTTGCCTCCAGCCCCTGGCACTCACCCTCCCTGTCCCCTCCCCTCCCGCCGTGTCACATTCCAATCTCGGATCCCCAGTGACCCACCCAGGCACAGGGCACAGCTCTGCCTCACACAGTCTCTTCAATCCCCGGGGAAACAGGATGAGCCAGTTTCTCCCCAGCCCCCTCGGGGAGCAGCCTGGGGGTGCTGGGCCCCTCTCTGGCCTCACTTGTCTCTCAGAAGTCGGCCAGAACAGAATCCTCTGAGCAGGGCCCTGAGAATCTGCAAAGATCCCACGGGCGGGCGGCTGCCGGGGATCTCAGGGGCCCACACAGGGGCCCGCAGAAACCGTGTCGGGGCTCTCACCCGGCCCTGCGCACCTAGCCCTCCCTGCCAGGAAGCATTTTCAAGCGTCTCCCTAGTTCCAGGCCTCGCCCTTGGCACTGGGGCCAGGAGAGGAGGGAGGTGTGCTCTCGGGCCTAGATGCTCCAGCCTTGTGGGCAGGACAGACACTGACAGAATTACCGATAATGTCATGATAAATGCTATGGCTAGGCCGCGGGTATAGACAAAGGGAGATGACTCAGTCTGCCTCACAGGTCAGAGCAGGAGGACATAGGACGTCTGTTTTGGTCTTGGGAGGCAGGGAGGAAGGTGAAGGGCATCCTAGGTGGAAGCGGCAGGCACACGTACACACGGCCGAATGCTGGGGAGAAGGCTTCCGTGGGACCCAAGGGGAAAGCAGGGGCTTGAATGGGGCAGGGCAGGTGGAGGGCACCAGAAGGGGCCCCTGCCGTGGGGGAAGGACCACGGGCTGGACCTGTATTCAGAAGGTAGCAGGAGCCCCTGGAAGCATCTGCTACGGTTAAGAAAGATCACTCTGGTAGTGATCCCAAAAGATCGCTCTGGCCCACGCTGGGAGGGGGCAGGATGGAGGCAGGGAGGCCAGGGAGGCCCCAGTAACAGCCCAGCCTCTTCCGTCATCATTCTTTCTGAGGTAGTTCCTCCCCTCTTGGCCACGGGACACGCGCCACGTCCGTTCCAGCCTCCAAACACTTGCTGGAGTGTTCCCTCCACCAGGAATGCGCCTCTTGTTCTTACTTGCCGGTGCTTGAAGCACCTGCTCCAAGCCCCCTCTTCCACGAAGCCCCTGCCTCTCGACTCTGGTCGAGACGGAATCCTAAAGCTCAAGTCATCTGTCCCACCCGTAATGGAAGGGAATTATACACAGTCTCCCTCTGCTCTTCTCCGCCTGGACGAGTCTTCCCAAAGATGCTGCCCTACACTCATGCCCTTATCATCTCCGTAACACCTACATGGTGCCTTCACAGGGGTGACCTGTTTCCTGCCCGAAACCTGGCTCAAGCTCCCATGACAATGCTGGTTCCCTTGGGTATTATCTGGCTCTCAGTCACCCACTGGGCTGTGACCTTTCTGGAGGCAGGTGCACGAAGCACAGGAGCTCAGAAATGGTGGGTCCTTGGAAAATACCTGTTCCCTTGGGGCCAGTGAGCCCAGGTACCTCTCCCACAGAAACCCTGCCCAGCGTCCGTTGCTCCACCCTGTCCCTCCCTGTGGAGTCACACATTCGAAAGTGGGGGGGGGGGCGGCATTCACCTCACAGCCACAGGTGGCCATTAAAAGCAACAAGATGGGCTGCCTGGGTGGCTCAGTTGGTTGAGCGTCTGGGTCGTGGGACTGGGCTCCACACCCAGTGGGGGAATGTGAGGATTCTCCCTCTCCCTCTCCCCTTCCCCTGCTTGCACGCTCTCTCTCAAATAAATAAGTAAAAGCAACACGATGCATGCATGGACTGCCATGGAAATAAACTAGTGCTAATAATGTTGATAGTGCCAACCGGCATTTAGCGGGACAAGTACTGTTCTAAGCTTTATGTGTTTACATGGACTAACTCATTAAACCTTCACTAGAGTCCTGTGAGGCCAGTACCCTCATTATGCCTCTGGGCAGACAGCACACAGAGACACAGAGAGGTAAGTAACCCATTCAGTGTGTGGCAGAGCCAGGAGCCTTGCCCTGGAGCACCTCACCCTGTGGTCTCCCCAAGACAAATGGAAAGGAGAAAAGAGTAAGAGCCCCCCCCCCCACAAAAAGAGTAAGAGCCTGAGATGTATTCTCATTTGGGGTAAAAGAAAACTAAGTATGGGCATATATGATATATATATATATGTAAGCAAGTAGCAAAACCGTCTAGGAGAATACATTCAAACTCTTAACTGGGGTTACCTGTGGGGGGGGGGGTTGAAGAAGACACTTTTACTTTTACTCTCTATACTTCCGGGTTATTTGCATTTTTCACAATAAGAATGAATCCATGTGTTACTTGAGTAATAAAAAAGAGAGAACTTGTCAGGGCCTCAATTAATGTTTGTGGAATGAATAGAAGCCAGATTCATTTTGTAGACTGTTTTTTCAAACTCTGGGTATGACCCATTAGTGGATTGTGAAATCAATTTAGTGGGTTGCAACCAGTATTTTATTTTTTTTTAAGATTTTATTTATTTATTTGACAGAGACAGACACAACGAGAGAGGGAACACAAGCAGGGGGAGTGGGAGAGGGAGAAGCAGGCTTCCCGTGGAGCGGGGAGCCCGATGCGGCGCTCGATCCCAGGACCCTGGGATCATGACCTGAGCCCAAGGCAGACGCTTAACGACTGAGCCACCCAGGCGCCCCAACAACCAGTATTTAAAAAAAAAAAAAAAAAAACCCAAATAGGCTAGAACAGAAAGTATCAGCTCAGCAGACAAAGTAGAGGAAAGAGTTATTTCACTAAACTTTTGTTTCAGTTTTATATAGTGGTGGTGAAGAGAATTGTGACCTAAAATGTATTTCTTACTACAGGTTTCTGGCAGAGTTTGAAAGCCATCGGTCTAGACTTGGGAGTCTAAAAGGAATGGGGTAGGGGGAGGGCGCCTGCAAGGGCCTCCTGGTCCAGGGAAAGAGAGCTGGTGTTTCCGAGTGGGTGAGTTCCCTCCCTTTAGGAAGAAGCCAGAGGGGCCCCTGGCTCTTGGGATAAGTCCTATTCAGCTCACTCTAGAGTTGGCTTCTGGGGCCTGGGTCATCTCTTGATAACTCTGCTTCCTTCCAAACCTTTTTGCCTTTGAGAGCCTTCACCAGAGTTCTGGAATGGAGCCTCTCCCAGCCCAGAAGGTCTGTGCTCACTCTTCTGTGTCACCCAAAGCTCCTAGGGATGCTCCTGGGGTCCCATATACCCCCTCCGCTGTCAAAGGGTTGGGGTGAGAAACAAGATTCCTTTCCAGCTTCCATATCCCCAAAGCCACAACCCAGGGAAGCCTCTGGAAACACAGCTGTGTGGTCAATCGGGAGGGGCCTCCACGGAGTCCGCAGCGAGAGCTGCCCCCACCCTGGCTGAGCCTGACCTAGGCAGGGCAAGGTCTGTATGGAGGATGGGGTGGAGGAAGAGAAGCAGAGCCCCCAGCCTGGGGCTCCCACGGCGCCGGCGGCGCCTCCACTTCGGAGCTCGCCTAACCCACCCCCGCCTCCCCTCCCAGGGCAGCAGACAACTAAAAAAAGATAAAATAAAAAGAAGTAATTCCCCTGCTCTGACGTCAGCGCGAGGTTTTAACAGCCCGGCAGCGGCCTGAAACCGGATTGCAACCAGATGTAATGCCCTTGAATCCTCCACACACCGCTGCGTTGGAAAGAGAAATGAAGCGGGAGGGGGGTGAGGGGGGCGGCACTTTGGGTGGGAGGGAGCCGTGCGGGTCCCGCGTGGGTTCTTGAATCAGAGCCTGCTGAAAGCATGGCAAAGGCGCTGCGGGAGGGAGTGCTGCGAGCGGGGAAGCTCAGGGCCCGGGTCCGCCATTCAGGCGCGCTGCCTCCCCTCCCCCAGCCCCCCAATAGCGCATTGTTACACTCGGTTTTGTCCATTCGGAGCCGAAACCCCAGCGCTCCCCCGCACCCCCGCCCCACCGCCGCCCGATCGCGGGCTCCCATGAGGGCCCGGCTCGGGTCCGCACTCCGGCCCTCGGCGTGGATTTGAGGAGGACTAAGAGCCCCAAGAAGGGAAACGGGCTCGCTGGGAAGACGGGCGTCCCAGGAAGCTGGGGCCGCAGCGGCCTCGGGCCTGACTGATGTTTCGCTTCCCCTCCGCCCCTCCTCCGAGGTCCCCCGGCGCGACCGAGGCTCCAAATGTCACCCCCCGCGTCCTGACACCCCCTCGCCCCCGCCGCGCTCCGCGACGCCGCCCGACGCCCGGCCCCCGCGCCCTCCTCCCGGGACCCCTGCCTCCAAGGCGCGGGGGCCAGGGAGCTGGCCGGCTCGCCGCGGTGCGGGGACTCGGGGCTCGCGTGTCCGGCGCCCCCGACCGTGACGTCACCCCCGAAGGGCCCGTGCGCCCGGGGCCTGGCCGCGTCGGAGCTGCCCGGGCCTCCGGGGCCGCTTCCTGCCGGGTCGCGGGGCCTGCGCACAGGCCCGGGCGCCGCTGCCCGCGTGGGGGGCACCGCAGAGAGCCCCGCGCGCCCCATCTCCCCACGCCGGGCCCTCACCGCCCCTGGCGCCCTGCCTCCCGCGCGGTGCCGCACGCCAGGCCCCGAGTCCTACTCGCACAAGTCGGCTCCCCGCCCCCCCACCCCGGGCGCACTCACAAAGCTCCCCTCCCGCCCCGGCGCCGGGCGAGTGCCCCCCGCGTCCCCACGCCCCGCGCGGCAGCACTCCGGGCCACCGCGAACGCACAGCCCCCGGGCCACACGGACCGTCGCCGCTCGCGCCCCCCAGACGGCCATCCGGTGACCTCGCGCACCCCCACACCACACAAAGCCGTGACCTCGCGGACCCCCACATCCCCGGCCCGCGGCGCACTCGGCCCCCGAGCCCGCCTCCATTCCTCACCCTGCCTCGGATCCCGACGCCTCGCGCCGCCCCTGCCCCGGCAGCGCCCCCCGCGCCCCAGCGCTCGGTGCTCACCTCGGCGCCCGCGCTCACTCGGGGGCCCTGGGTCTGGCGCTGCGACTTCGCGGCCCGCAGGCCCGGGCGGCCATGGGGGTCAGGGCGCGGCGGCCCGGCCGGCCCGCGGCCAGGCAGGAAGGAGGGTGGGCCGCGGCGCCCCCTCCTCGCGCCGGCGCTCCGGCGGCGGGCAGGGCGGCCTGTTCGGCTCGCCTCTCGCCCTCGCCGCCGCCTCGCTCTCCGACTCGACTCTCCGAGCCCAGCCGCGGCGGGGGCGGCGCCCGGGGGCGCGGGGAGCCGGCGGCGCGGGGAGCGGGCCCTGGCCGCGCACCCGGCCGGGCCTGCCTGGTGTCCGCGGGTGCCGCGGGGAAATGCGATCCCCTCCGCACAGGAAGAGCCAACGGGCGGGCGGGCGGGCGACGCGCGGGGGGAGAAGGAGAGCGAGAGCGGGAGGAAAAAAGTTCCCGGGCGGCCTGGCTGCGCTCGCTCGAGGCCCCAGGCGCCAGGTGGGCCGTGCGCGCCCCGACAGCACCCCCTGGCGGCCCGCGCGCCCCACTGCGCGTCCCCCCGCCCGCCCGCCTGCCCGGAGGTGGCGGAGCGGGGGGGGGGGGGGGGGCGGGGGGGGGGGGGCGCCTTGCGTGCGATCCAGGTGGAGCCCTCCCAGACTCGCACGCCCCGCCCGGGGCCGGGGGACGCGTTGGGACCCGGGGACTGGGTGGGGGGCTGGAACCTCGGGCGGAGGATTTGGACTGGCATCCTGCCCTCAGATGCTTCCAGTGTCTGGCCTGGTTCCTAGGCCAGGCTCCCACGTTCACTCCACCATCAGCCGTCACTATTACCTCGTCTTTACGGTTTGGGAAACATCTTTTCAACTTCTAAACTCAATAGGCTGGACAGAAATTTCTCCACGTACTGGGTTCCCGGCACCTTGCTGGACGCTGGGGAATGAACAGAGACAAATGGTCTCTGCTGTCATGCTGACATCCTGTTGCGGACAGACAGACAGCAAACAAATGCTTACATACATAAAGAAGGTAATTTCAGGGAGTTAGGAGTTCTAGGAAGCAAATTAGCAGGTGAAGTGGCGGGTAGGGGCTATTTAGCTGGAAGTGAGAGAAGGAGGCCTATCTGAGCAGAGAACTGAATAGCAGGAAGGAAGCGTGCGGGGCGCAGAGCCCGGAGAAGAGCATTCCCAGCAGAAAGAACAGAAGTGCCGCGTGGAGAGGCCCTGAGACAGGGGAGAGCTTGGTGGATAAGGAGCCAGGCGAGGGCGCCTGGGTGGCTCAGTTGGTTAAGCGACTGCCTTCGGCTCAGGTCATGATCCTGGAGTCCCGGGATCGAGTCCCGCATCGGGCTCCCCGCTCAGCGGGGAGTCTGCTTCTCCCTCTGACCCTCTTCTCTCTCGTGCTATCTCTCATTCTCTCTCTCTCAAATAAATAAATAAAATTAAAAAAAAAAAAAAGAGCCAGGTGACCAGCCGACCAGCCGGAGGCACACTGAAGGCAGAACCGTAAGAGAAGACCTCCGTCTTCAAGGCTACAGAGGGCCTGGTGAGGAATTTGGATGCAAAGTTCTGGAGCTATGGGAAGGAAGCCATTGGCAGAGGGTACAAAAAGGAATATTGAATAAATGAGTGAGTGAATAAGTCTATGAACTTATAGGTTCCCTAAGCAATTGCTGCTCCAAGGCTTTGACTCACCAGGGCTCAGGCAGAAACCCACAGCCACCTGCTCTGGGAGAATGCCCGCCCCCAGCCCCCCACCCTCTGGGGTCTGTTGGTCCTATGGAGGGGAGAGCGAAGCATCAGAGCTCCCAGGTGACCTGGGACTAGTGAGGTCTCCTATCAAACCTCAGCTTCATCATTGGTAAAAGAGGGACTGGGGTAGGTAAGGTGCCCTTCCTCTGTACTAGACACTGTCCCTCTTTCTGTGGGTTGTCTCCCTTGATCCTGGCAGCTCCTCTGTGAGGCAGGCTCACAGAGGAAACTGAGGCACAGGGTGGTGAGGTCACCTGTCCAGGTTCTCAAGCTAAAGTGACAGAGCCCAGACCTGCAGCCCGGGCCCTTGACTGAGCTCAGCCACCTGTCTCCCACGGAGAATGGTGAACGGTGGGAGCAAGGCAGAGGCTGGGTCACAAGGTGAGCTGCGCTGTTTTAAGCTAGTTCTAAGCTAGTTCTAAGCACATGTTCTTGGGTGGTTGGCGGTGGGGAGACAGACCTGGTTTCTAAGTCTGCCTCATTTGCACCAGCTTTGAGCAAACCTCTCAACTTGCTGGGTCTCTGTTTCCTCATCTGTAAAATGGGGATAACAGCAGTGCCGACTTCCTGCGGTTGTTGAGAGGATTGAATTAAGTCAGGTGTGTGAAGCGTTTAGCCCCGAGCCTGGCATGCAGGGGACGCTGTTACTGTTTTAGGTCAAATACTAGCTGAATGGGAATGGCCCCTTTCATCCAGCCAGCGACTTCCTAGCCCCCACCATGTCCAGTCTCCTGCCCTCACGCAGCCTCAACCTGCTTCTGGGAGAGCCGAGGGGAAGGCCTGACACCAGGAACCCCAGTGGGCTGCTAGAAGAGCAGGCCTCCCCGGGGAGAAGGAGATTGTGGGGGGGGGGGGTCCAACTACCAACCACTGCCATTGTTGAGCACCTACAATAACAATAACAAATGTAAGTGCGGCAAATGACCACAACTTCAGTGGCTTAAAACAACACACATTTATTCTGTACAGTTCTAGAGGTCAGAAAAGCCTGAAATCAGTTCCTCAGGGCTCCAGGCGAGGTGCTGGCAGGGCTAGCTCCTTCTGGAGACTCTGGGGAAGAATCTGTTCCCTGCCTTTTCTAGCTTCTGGAGGCCACCTGCATTTCAGGGCTTGTGACAGCTTGGTGACCTCCAGAAGCTAGAAAATGCAAGAAGACCATAGATTCTGTTGTCCCACCTCCTACTTCCTCCCTTGACCTTCTTTGCCTCCTCTTATAGGGACCTATGTGATGACATTAGGGACACCTGGATAATCTGGGATAATCTCCCATCTCAAGACCCTTAATTTAATCACAGCTGCAAGGACACCTCTCCCCACCCCCACCCCCCACCTTTTTTTGTTTGTTTGTTTGCCATGCACAAGAACAGTCAGTTTCCAGGGATTAAGACCTGGATTTCTTTGTGAACCATTATTCAACCTCACATTCCATAGCTTCTCTGAATGCTCCCTCATTATAACACATTTTACGGATAAGAAAATCGAGGCTCAGAAGAGATGAAGTCACTTGTCCGAGGTTGTACAGCTGGTGAGTTTATTCACCTATTCCATGTGTATTTACTTGAGTGCCCACTGTGGTTCTGACATCAGGTAAGACTCTGGGTTGCAATGTAAAAGTTTCCTGGGAAAAGTGTGCTATGGAACACAGGCCTGGTCCTGTCGAGGAATTCAGGGAAGGCTTCCTGGAGGAGGTGACCTGTGAGCTGGGATCTGAAGAGTGATTTGCCCCGGGGCTGCTTTCATCAGGGGAGGGCCTGGGGCTTCTCAGAAGAGAACCGGGAACTGATCAGGGGTCACTGTCAGCAAAGTCCAAGAGATTTCTGCTGAGAGCTTGCTTGTCATTCTTAGCCGGATGCCAGTAAGAGGGCCAGGAGGGAGGTGGCCCACTGTGCCACAGACCCCAGTAAAGATAGTGTTGGTACAAAAGTCTCAAACTTGCTGCTTGAACGTGGAATCCAGGGTGCTGGGTTTGTGTTGACTAGAGGGCAGAGCAAAGTGTTTGAAAATTTGGAGTTCAATACCTTTAAGGAATCTAAGTTCTCGCTGAATTGAAATACCTTTAAGGAATGTAAATTGTACCTATTGTTCTATGCCCACATTTAAATCACCCAGCTGACCCCCCCGCCAAAGCATTCGAGTTTGAGATATCCTCCCTCTCCCAAGGGCTTTTGAGACCCAGTTCTGCATCTGTGTGACGTTGACCTTGAGCTCCCCCTGGTTTTCTCTTAGGTTGAAAGGAGACAAAGACCTCTATTAGGGAGAGAGAGACCCTTGTGGGCTGGAGGACAGGGGAAGGGGAAGGATCTATCTCAAGATAGGATCGAGTTTCCTGAGAGAGTAGGCTTATCATCTGCTCACTCAATAGAATACGAAGGGAGCATTTCACTAAGCCTCCACCTGGTTGGGTAGGCATCCCCGTTCCAATAACCCCCTGGTTCACACCAGGAAACGGAGGCCACGGAGGTGAAGTACCTAGAGCAGGAAAGCGCAGGTGTGTCCATGTGCCCAGCCGGAGCTCCCCCACACTGCCAGCTTGCCTTCTCTGAGACCAAAGCTCCTGGGGTCTCCGGGCTGTTCTTCTGCAGCCCCTGCAGAGTGTGAAACGTGCAGCAGGCCTCCCATTAGCGAGGACTCAGCCAGCACATACTGAGCCCTGTGCATTTTTGGTCTGTGGGGTAGAGACTCACTATCCGCATTTTGCAGAGGAGAAAATAGAGGCTCAGAGGGGGGAGGAAATGTTCCCGGAGTTGGTCGGTTCAGTGTTTGTAGCTGGTAGTCCGGCCGGTTGCTTAGTCAGTAACCAGAGGAGCCAGTTGGAGAAGCAGAGGGGAAGGCCCGTCCCAGCTCCATCATATTCACAGGGACAGTGCAGCGATGCCCACCTCAAGGGCTTATCGTGAGAAGTTTAAAAAAGCTGGGTGCTGTGAGCTCCGCATGGCCACCGAGGCTCTCTTTCCACTCCCAGCCTCTGTGAAGTGGGCCCATCATGCTGCGCCACCCCTATCTGAAGGCAAAAGGGAACGGAGCCATTTATTTGCAAAGGTCTTGCCAGTGCTCAGAGCTCTTGAGAAGGAAGGCAGGCCAGGAAGAGAGATAGGCCCGTCCATTTCAGAGAGGAAGGGGTCAATGATGGGGGCCACATAGCAGTGAGAGACCCCTGGGCTTCTCGCAAGGCCTCTGACCTCCAACAGAAAGACCAGAAGGAGGAAGTACCGGCCATGCTTAGCTTCAGGTGAGTCTGAGCACTGTAGGGTCAGGAGGAATCTGTCCAGTCCCAGGATGTCCTTTAAAGGGCCCCAGAGTCAAATAGGCATCACTTGGATCCTCCATTCACTTGCTCGCTCATTCACTCACTCATTAATTAATTAATTC